CTTTATGGGGTATATCGTCATTTTCTTTTCAGCTTAGTCCCTTAATTAATCATGGGTCGCCACAGCCGAATGACCCGCCAACTTATCCAGCATATGTTTTTACACAGCGGATGGCCTTCCAGCTGCAACCCATCACTGGGAAACATACATACACACTCATTTACACTCATTTTAACACACTCAATTTACATACTCACATTTGAACACACTCAATTTAGCTTACCCAATTCACCTATAACGTATGTCTTTGGACTTCACCCGGAGGAAACGCGAACACTGGAAAACTTCACATAGAACAACCCCCTGCCCTACTTCTCTGCATTTACTCCATTACCTTTCTTCAACCTGCAGTCACTACTCTACTTTTTCTTGTCTACAGTGATTGGCCAAGTAAAACAGTCAGTCCCGTGATTCCATACAATCAAATCATGCCTAGAAAAATCACATCTGACAGACCAACCTAAACAAATAAATGCAGCAAATATTTACAGTGTGGAAGCATTACAACTGTCCAATCATTACAAGCAACAACTGTTTCATGACTGAAATAGCCAAATGGCCTTGACTCATTATTAAGTGCACTACAGGATTGCATGCATTCTATGAGTGCTGAATGAGCTTGGTTTGCAGTGCCGATTGCTGAACATTCATAACCTGTTTGCCTGGGTTTAAAGTGCATAATAAATAGTAATATGTCATCACAGCTTTTTTAATCTAAAGAGAATGCCACTGATTTAAGCTTTATTTTTAATGTGTAATACTTTTATAAAATTAGGAATTTCATTTCTAAAACAGAATAATACTCACTACTCGCTGATCTTGAGTGCTTTAAGAATGGCTACTCATTTTTACTCCTACTTTAAGTAGTATTTAGAACAGATACTTTTACTCTGAGTATAATTTTTTTAGTTCTTTTTCATTTCCATACCATGTCTATCTTTTACGATGGCTCATGGGCTTCTGACCAAATGTTAAACTGTGACAAGTTAGAAGCGAGAATCTGTAGTTGTATCATGAGAAAACACCCTGAGGTTTGTTTGCTTTCCATCATTCCTCATGTCCCTAATTTTGTAGGCTGTCATGAAATATGAGTGATCTGGAGTTGTTTTTGAGTTCTGTATTCTGAAGTTACAACTTTTTTATCCAAGAAAGAATCTTGAAAAGTGAGAGGAACAGAACACAAGCTTGAAGAACAGATATCAGCCTGTCCTGGACACGACAAATCAGATTATGGTGCTGTAAGAGGAGTCATTGTGCTTCATCAAACATCTTTCTGCCCACATTAAGACAACTTTATTATTTTAAACCAATCTGACAGGCATCTTCTGTAATAATGGCTCTCGTACGGCAGTCTGCTGAAAAGCAAATGACATCTTAAAAGCTTTTCTTTGGTAGCAGGGTTACTAATCAAGATCACGCGGTGTCCAGAATAAACAGACCCGCCACAAATGAAAGTCAGAAATTTTTTGAGTGAGAGGAAAGTAATTACACCTTTTTTTTGTTGTTGTAAAGAACAGAACTATGTGAATAATGAATGTAAAATGGCATACAGGTATATTTTTATGCAACTAGCGATAAATGATTATATTCATTCATTCATTTTCTTTTTTGATTAGTTCCTTTATTAATCTGGGGTCGCCACAGCCGAATGAACCGCCTAAATGATTATGTTCGTTGTGAAAACAAATTAAATAAGTAAAATGCTAAAAATAATGTAATGGTGTTACGGGAAAAATCTAATGCTATCTCACAGCAATTCATAACTTTTTGATTTAGTGGCTAATTCGTATAAAATTGTACGATCTCATTTGTAAAATTTAGTATATTTGCTTATCCTCCAGTGACAGATGGGTTTAGGGCTGGGGTTTGGTTCCACTCCTCCTTTTAAAAACCATACATTTTCATACAACTTGTTTGTCACTAAATGACAAAACATAAATAGTTATGTTTAAAAAAAAACGTACACAAGCAAAGACAAAGAGGTTCATCTCATAAATGCAACATATTGCATATTGCAACATACATCATTCTGAAAACGTAGTCCAATATACATTTTTGGGGATCGTGATTTTTGTAGTTAGAGCTATGTATGGCTGCACTTTAAAAGAAATGCTATGGTGTGATAGGATGCAAAAAGGCAGAAGCCAATCATGTGCGTTTAGAGCTGGAAAGAGATTTGATGCTCTCATTTCTCGAGTCCTCGGGTTTGAGTCATGTCTCTTTACATTCTGTCACGTGATGAACAAACGTCTTAAAAACCAGAAGACTCGAAAGATGAACTAATCATGGCTCTTTTCGGCTCAGACTGTGTACATTGATTAAGATTATATGTGATTGTCAGTGTGACGTGAACGAACCACTGAAATTTAAAGACATGAAGAGGTGAGCTGAGCAAAGAGAAAAAAAATCTTTAAAGACAAAAGAGCAGGAAACAATGAATTTTTATTTTCTCCTTCTTATACCAATCTATTTATGACTTGTATGTAGTGTGATCAACCTTGGGCTAGTTGTAGATGTGTTTGGAAGCAATTCGTGACTTTTTACTAATATTTTGGCAAATTGAACGAAATGACTCGAAAAAAAGATTTGTTCATCTAGATGAACGAGACTCAAAGATCAGAATCAGTAAAATACACCGAACTTCCCATCACTAGAAGGGGGTGGGTGGGGTCATCGGTCGGTTGGTCAGTCAGTCAGTCGACATCAGCCTCTGGTGGATTTATGTGACAATCACAGGCGCAAACGGCAAATTTGAGGTCTGAAAAAGCATACACAGCGGACTTGGTGAATTTGTGAAAACAAAGACTGCAAAAAAAAAACATACCTCCTGAGACATATTTTAAAAATGGGTCATTCTGAGAACTGTGAGACCACGAAACACGTCTCAGGAGGTACGTATTTGTGCAGTTTTCCATTGGATGCCAGATAAATAATTATCTCAAAATGAAATAGAAAAATGAAATTGGCTACCTTTCTTCGCCATTTACATTCAGTATGCTAAACTCAAAAACAAAACTCAAATAAAATTGGAAACAAGATATAGCACAGAGAAAATGAAATTAAGTTTTAAAATAAATTGTATTTTTTTAATTGTAATTTTTTTTAATTCAGTAACTACAAGCAAACAAACAAAAAAGGAACACTTTTTAATCACTCTTTTTATAACAAGCTATATATTTAGCTTAAATGAATTGCCAATGTGTATAGTCATTATAATTATTTTGGGTCATTATTTGCTAATGATTTATTGTCAACTAAATTATTTTCATGAGTTTAATGATAAATATAGATTAAACATTTTTATAATAATATGACTATGGTTATAATTATAATAAACTGGACTTCCCTCAAATATTTGTTGGCCAAACCAGGCTCGTTTCCTCAGTCGGGATTATTTGTTTGGGATGTACCTACATAACTGTCTGAGGGACATGACTTGTATGTGTAGGATGTGTAAGGTCTCTTCACTCACTGATTCTTCAAAGAGAGCTCCTCCAGACGGGTGTGGTGTAGGAAATTGATTAAAGGAAGACACAAAAGAAAAAAAAAATGAAACACGCTAATCAGTGTTTTCCTGAAACGTGATTCGGGGAGGACCTTGAGAACAGAGGAAGCTGGAATAATGTAAACTTTCCTTCTCTCCAGAGATTCTCAAGATTATATTTTTGATTAGAGTTTTGTGTCAGAAATAAACAGGAGACAAGGAAACTGTTCACTGGATGGCCCCTAAACTCTCTTGCGATAATTGTAGTTATTATCTGACAGCTTGCCTTCTGAAAAGTCCCCAATACTTCCGTAAAACCTTTGAGGAAGATCAAGTATAAAAGACTTGTGAATAAATAACTAATGACTAGTGACGTTTGCTTTGATGCACTGTAGCAGACTTAGCTGACTTAGCAAGATCACATGGAAAAGAGCAGAAGCTAAAATGACAGAAGAGCTGCAGAGCTGACTATATCCACACAGACTTGCTAAGAGATTAGCTAGTTAATGACACAGAAGAGCTAATTGCCAGCCTTAAGAAATGACCTGCTTTGACCAACAAGTTTACAGGTTTGGCTAGCTAATCAGCTGGCACAGAAATGCTAATGACAGATATAAACAAATGGCATGCTATTAGCTAATTTAGACCAGCTAATTAACTGGTACAGACCTTCTATAACAAATGGCATGCTGACCAGCTAATTAATTGGTAAATCCAGCTAATTACCAAGTTGGACCAGCTATTTATCAGCTCAGACAGCAAACTTCCTAAACAGACCTGTTAAAACTTTTTAAACTAAACTAGAATTACCAGGCTGGATTTGCAAATGATCAGTATTGACCAGCCAATATCAGTTTATACAATGTACTTATCAGGTTAGGCCAGCTAAGGACCAGGTTAAATCAGCTAGTGATCAGTTTAGACCACAGGCCAGTAGACCTGCTGAAGACTCTGGAGACAGTTTATAGATCAGTTTATATCTAGTAATAACTGGCTAGTTTAGCCTAGTTTAGATCAGCAAACAATCAACCTAATAACTAGGTAGTCTAATTTAACCTGGTTATCTAACAACCAGTCAAAAATTTCACATTTATAAAAATAACAATATTAAATATAAGAAATTTATGGTAGTTTTTTATTTGGTTCAAGTAACAATTCTCATAATTAACTACTGGCTTATACCAATCTACTACCTTATTAATAAGCAACAACTAATAATAATAATAATAATAATAATAATAATAATAATAATAATAATAATAATAATAATATATATATATTTTTATATTATTTAAATATTATTGTTGTTATAATTTTATGTTGTTATTGACATATTTAATTGTGTGTACGTTTATAAACGTGTCATGAACGTTTTTTAATTTGTTAATGTAATAAATGAACATCCTTCTCTCAACTGCTTAGAAACTCCCCTCTAACAGTTCGTCTTACTGCTTTAAATAAAACTCTGTTAAACATGAGTTCAGGCGTAAGGTGTAAGATAGGACTTTGCAGAGGAAATGCCCTCTAGCTAACTGAAAAGCTGAGCCGAGTTTCTCAGTCGCTGTTCAGTCGAGCGTCTGCGCCTTCAAGAGCAGGAGCCTCCATTCAGGCTCTGACAGGGAACCGCGAAGATGCTTTCTGGAGTCTATCAGTTCACACTAGCAGCACTACTAGGTACGTTTTTCTTTTATTATTTACCATTTGATCTAGTTTATTTTGCATGTGTGTTGTTATGTCTAGAACCAGCACGCATAACTGCGCGCAATATTTCTTGCGTTTCCCTCGGCGCTTTCATACAGGATTATATAATGCATTATTGATCTGGTATATCCACTTAGACATAATGCTGAGTGGTTAGCTATTCTGAACATAAGTCATTCTTTTACGTATCATGTAGTAGACGAAGATCATCATGTTATGTTACTTTGTTCCGTTTACTTGTACAACGTGTGTGTGTGTTTCTCTTAAATCGCGCTTTTAATTTTGAGCAGCTGGATATGTTTAGCAGACGCTACTTCCTCATTTATTACAACTATTCAATTAAATATACTGAAATATATAAATCAATTAAATATATTTAAGGAAGAAATCTATCTATCTATCTATCTATCTATCTATCTATCTATCTATCTATCTATCTATCTATCTATCTATCTATCTATCTATTTAAAAAGTGCACTAACTCTTTTAATAGATATAAAGACTGAAAATAAAGTTTCATCTGTTTTACTCATTGACTGACAGCTGCTATGCAGATCATGTGACCTGTTGTGTCATGTAGGCTACTCAAAGATGATTTTATTTTAATGCAATATTATGTTTACTTTACATGTCACCTCCAAGCCAGAATTAAAACATACCCATTACATCCAAACCAATAGGTGTCAGTGAAGTACAAATAAATACCAGTACTAATAGAATGAATTACAGTCATCCAAATAAAAATGAAGACTTACTGAGAGTAACTTTAAATATTGAACATTTTTGCTGTTAATCCATAAAGCTGGCAACCTTTTAAATGCCTGTCATGTTAACGTTTAATTAATGTTAATGACAGTAGGAAGAGTATGAAGAACAGCAATCAATGTTCCCTCCCCGTTTAACCAAATTTAGAGATCTCAGACGTCTCCTAGGGTTCAGATTCCTGAGAATGCATGTGATGCAGACTTGTGACCTGTGTTAAGGAAATGAGTTGTGGATGCAGCTGCAGAAAGAAGTTCACAGTGCTCATCACACCATCACTTTATTCATGCACTTAAAAGGAGAGTTCATGAAAGGGGAAAAAATGCTGTTAGTTTACTCATCCTCAGGCCATTTAAGATGTAGATGTCTTTTTTCTTCAGCAGAACATTAAACAATGATTTTGAGCCAAAGGCTGTGGTTCTTTGTGATTTTTCTTCGAAAAATGATAATCAACCTGCACTCTGAGAATCAAAAACTTACAGACTAGGGTTGTCGCGATACCATTAATTCATTTTACAATTCTATGCCAGCTGAAGTATTACGAAGCCAAGTAGTATTGCAATACTGTAATTCATAACTCAAATTATAAAGAAAATTGTCAGAAATACTATGTTTTACATGTTAAAATAGGTAGGGATGTCCCTTGAGTCCGAATCCGAGTCACTGGATTTTGAATATCTACCGATACCCCATCTAATACTTTTATAATACATAAAAAATAAAAAAAGCGAAGAAACAGATCCAGGATGTTCCTTATTTTTTATTTAGTTCACCTTATTTTAACATTCAATAACTCTGTTAATAAACAGAGCACATCTTTGAGATAGCTTGAACAATCTAAATAACATCAATTCTTCACTTTTGGACTTTAGCGCAACAGTAAATATAAAAGAAATCTAATATAAAAACAAATAGCACCTTAACTTCAAATACCCGGCAGACAAATCCCAAGTTTACATATCTCACAGTTTGCTATTGACCTTATTCTAAAATGCGGAAGTGCGCCTGTTTTCGGGATTGTCTTAGAACTTCCGTTTCAGTCGCCTATGGGAGAAATGACAAGGAATAATAAACGGCAAAAAATGGTCAAACTACTTGCTCTACAAACAAATGTTTGCATGACTATACAGACCAAGTAGAATAATATAACAAGGAAATATCAGTTTGCAACATCAAACAGCGAAACTGGCAGTTTTTAATGTCTAAAAATGAATGGAAGTGAATGAGACAGGAAGTCTCGTGCCAAAAAGATTCAAATTGCAGCGCCCGCTCGTCTGTGGAGAATAAGGTTAATTGCAATGTTGTCGTCATCAACTTTATAAGATCTCCAGACCGCAGACATACTTGCTCTTTCTGCGTCAAGCTGCTTTGTTCTAATTTGCCGGTATTTAATACAATAGTGTCTCTGCAAGAGGTCTAACTCTGTGCCACCGCATAACCATAGATGTGTTAAAAAATAATGGGAATATATACACATATATTTTCGAGTCCTGATCAGGAGGTAACATCCGATTCCGATCGAGTCTGAAACCGCATGAGCGGGCCCGATTTCCGATAACGTGATCAGATAGGTCTTGAATTTAGTTCATAATTCCCTTATTTTTGAAAAAAGAAACAATGAATATTTGCACATCACTTCACCTCAAATTTATAAATTCTTTTTGTTTATTTTGTAAATAATGGACCAACAAAAAATACATTAAAACAAAGATACAAATTATACCAAATGAAATTTGGTAAAAAAAAAAAATAGCATTTTCCCCAACAAAATTGAAGTGATCATAAATTGTTTTAATGTTTCCTGTTGCTATTATTGCCTTATCAGGTAAAAATTAAGTAATTCAAAATTTCATTTTGTGAGTCGTTCTTTTTAAGAGATGGTCACGATTGTTGTAGCAACCAAATTATATTGAGAGCAACAGAAACGAATCAATTCAGATGTGCATTTGAAACGTCAGAAAACTTGCAACCTTGAAGACCTCCACAAACAATTAAAATAAAATGGTCTATTGTTGCACTAACTTGTGAGCATTTTAGTGACTTTTCCACACCCAACATTATCTATTGTAGATAGAAAACTTATGACAATACTACCGTTTAGTAACTACAGCGGCACCACCAGTATTTCATAGTACCGGTAAACCAACACAATCTCACGGCAATTCGTAACTTTTTCATTTAGTGGCTAATTCGTATGAATTCGTACGATCTAATTCGTACAATTTAGTACAATTTGCTCATCCCCCAATGACGGTTGGGGTTAGGGGTGGGGTTAGGTGTCACGCCTCCTTTTTAAAATCGTACCATTTCGTACGACTGAACCATGCAACCCTAATACAGATTAACCAAAATGAATCCCTTTTAGTGCTTTTAACTCAGCATGTTGGGTTCTGTCAACTAAGGAAAGCAAAGTCATGAGATGTGGTCAAGTGCAGCGTCCCATACTCAAAATTTAAGCTCTGCTTTAAACACACATACATGATGAACACACACCCAGTGAGCAGCACTATTGTGGCATTCAGGGAGCCTATACAATCCCTGCTTGTACCAGGACTCAAATCTGCAACTTTTGGTCCAAATATGTAACCATTAAACCATTTATTGTTATGTTTGACCCTAACTCAGCCTGAAAGACTCAGATGTACTTATTGCAGTGGTGACATTTAATCCGTGTGAATTCCTAATGGAGTCGAGCAGGCAGGTGTTTTTGGTTTGAGACCAAAAAAAAAAAATCATCTGTTTTCAGTTAGCATGCATGTGGATGCTTTGAACGTTGGATGCACATACATGTTTGAAGGCTGTGTGACATGGTATAAATTTATCTGATCTATAGATGTGGATTGTTGTGCCATTATCTTTGGAAGATCTTCTCAGAATGTCTGTAGATGTTGAGTCATTGCAAAGGTGGAATTTTGATTCTTCTTTTAATTAGCTTGTTTACTTTTTGGACAAGTATGTAAAATTTTATGTATGTAAAAAGTTTTTTGTTTGATTTTTATTTTATTTCTACATATTATTATGGTAATAAACAGAACTCGCCAACTCTAAAAGTGTTCCAAAAGGGAGGTCTTGCACCGATGCCATAGACCTATTTTTGGTTTGAATAATTGTGAAGACTCTGTTTTCAATATATACAGTTAAAGCCAGAATAATTAGCCCCCTGAATTATTAGCCCTACTGTTTATTTTTTTCTGTTAAACAGAGAGATTTTTTAGCACATTTTTAAACATTATACTTTTACTAACTACTTTCTAATAACTGATTTATTTGATCTTTGCCATGAAGACAGTAAATAATATTTGACTAGATATTATTCAAGACACTTCTATACATCTTAAAGTGACATTTAAAGGCTTAACTAGGTTAATTAGGTTAACTAGGCAGGTTAGGGTAATTAGTCAAGTTATTGTATAATGATAGTTTGTTCATTAGACTAGGGGTTCTCAAACTTTTCAACCCGGGACACCCAAATAAACAATGCCAATGACTGGGGACCACCACTATTTTCGGAAGTGGTTATAATCATACAAACACTGCACACAACACTAACACAAACCAATAGGCCTATATAAACACAAGCATATTGACAACACAAAAAAGTTCTTATTTTTATTTAATATTAACCTCACCTTATGAGATTGGTGGGCACAATATTTAAGCTACATCACAAGTCTTTTCTTGGTTTCATTTTGGAAACTGACACTGAAAGATCATCTTTTATGTTCAGTCGTGGTCTGTATTTATTTTAAATGCATGTGAGTGCTGTAATGGTGTCAAAAAGTTTAGCTAGTGCCGTAAAATCAATCTGGCGCAATCTGGTCGTTAATCTAAAGTAAAAACCCTAGGGGTTGCAATCCAATGTTAAAAAACACCAACAAAAAAACGAAAGGCTGATGGCTTTTTGTTTGGATATTGTATTTTTTATGTAACTATTTTTATCTTTTGTAGGATATGGATTAGCAATGGTAATAGTAAAAGTTTATTAAAATTTATTAGATTTTTTTAAATCACCAAGCGACCCCCTCTCATGGTCCCGTGATCCCCCAGGGGGTCCCGACACCCACTATGAGAACCACTGCTGTAGACTACCAAAAAAAAAAAAAAAAGAAATTGCCTAAAGGGGCTAATAATTTAGTCCTTAAAATAGTGTGTTTAAAACATTTAAAACTGCTTTTATTCTAGTCGAAATAAAACAAATAAGACTTTCTCCA